CTCGCCGGGAAAACCCAAATGTCGACTTATCTCAAAAAATATTTTTCCAATTGAACTTAAAACCTTTTTTATATTATTAGGTCCACCCAACTTACATTCTAGTAAAGTTTGAGCGATTTTGATTTTTCGGCTATTTCCAGCCATAGGCGATTTTTACGGACGACCTCTCTTAAAAAATTGCTTTTTAAATCGCTGTTTAATCTAACAAGCAATCTTAATCATAATATATAATCCGGAGGCGATAAATAATAAATTATTTCGCTCAGAACTGCTAATCGTGCTTTTACAACATGAGCATCATCAACGCGCATGCCATAATCAAAAATACGCTGACACCAACTTGAATGGCACCATTGCACTTATAGCCAGTGCAGCACTTCTGTGAGCAGTCAGTTTTCCCCTTGCACAAAAGATCTGCCTCAATAGCGCATTTAATGTAGTCTTTAGCGCATCCTTTCCAGTATGTCCCATTATTCTGAGCAGTGAAGCAGTATGACTGAGCACCATCGACTTTACCGCATGGAACCACGTACTGGTTTGATTCGCAATCGGAAGCTGACGTCGTTGATCTGCAGCTGTAGCATTTGGGGAGGTCTGGAAACAAGAAAGAATCGATCATTATAGAATGGAATTATGGCCTACGACGTTGCTTAAAGCTTCCAATAGATAAAAATGTGATTATTACATGATAGAAGAAAATTCGACCTCTATAGCATTCACTTATAATTGAAATCATGTAAACAAAAAAAATAGAGACAAGTATAGGTTCAAGCACACTCCTAGTTCAGAAAGGAAAATCTATCACTGGTCGTTGAATACTAGGACAGGGTCAAACGCTTTTAGCCCAGAAGTCGTCCGATTGATGCCAAAAGAACATTCAAAAGACTTGTTTTTGCTAACCATCTTAATTTCGTAATATTTTACAACGGCATACTTACCGTCGGGTGCTTTAGGGTCGTTACAATTTTCATATTTGCAGCAAGACGCATGGCAATTTTTCTGGTAAAATTAAAATATAAGTCATAAAGATTATTGACGTTCTTATATATTAGGATTAGGACTATTAATTGATAATTAGTTAGTTATTTAGTTATTGAATAACACAAACTGAAAGGAGAACTAACAGACGATCCAAGATGATCTTTTAAATATACAAATAAATTCAATGAATCAAATCTGTATTGATAATTTTACCTTGCCATCGCAGAGATCCGATTCGCCAGATGAAGTGCAGTTAGAAGCACATCCAGCGAGGGAAACGCGGCTTACAGCGCCTCCGATTTCCTGGTCAGCGGAGAGCTTGTAGCAGTACGGCTCCATGCTTGAGCACGTGATTTTAGTGCAGCTATCCTTCCCATTACAGCTATAGCACTTTTGAGCTGTTGGTTCAATATAACAAGCCTTACTCAGTTTTGATTCATTTCATATCGGAAAAATTTCACATTTTCATGCGAAAGAGTCAGGTGTGTTATTGAATATCATTTTAATATTAAAGCACATTGACTGCTGTATTTATTAACAATACCTGGTAGACGATATACTTCGTTACGCAATGATTCCCCTGTTCCATCGGAAGCACAATCTCCTGATCCATTGCCATGTTGAGTATAAGTTGATTCTCCCTTCTCTCCACTCCAACACTCGGCGTTGGCCTGGACACCAAATACGGACCAGCCCTCAACTCTTGTATAGTCTGCGCATGTCCTGACGGCAACATCTCTGCTAAATCGACCGAATAATTTCGGCAAGGCTCTTGTAGATAATGAGTCCTTCCAACATCCAAGTCTTTGATATGTTCCCTCTAAAAAAAATCGAATGAGCTGATATTTGACTCTAAAAACAGCTTTTTGAAAAATACGCTGCCCTTCATACCTAGCAAGTCAAAAAGACAAGCTGATCATTTGCACCATACAAAGACCGAATCCAATCTACTCTTTACTATACCTTTGAATTGATACACATCGTTGGCCCAAGTTCCACCCATGCCGTTACGACAGGCTGCTGAGGCTCCAAACACTTTATACTTATTCGCTGCATCAGCTTTAGAAAAGCACTCTCTTCCAGCTTGTACTCCAAAGGTTGAATAGCCTTTCTTCTGCACTAATTTGGCGCACTCATCTACTGATCCTACATTTCCAAGTTTTTCGCTCATTGCTCTGAATAGTGTATCTTTAAAGCACCCGAGACGTGTGTATTCACCGCCGGAAGCTGTAGAAGAAAAATACATTATATGTCATTTCTACAGTTTACACTGGAAAAAATCGTGCGCTTGAAAGGTTGTAAATTTGATGTAAATACGATGTAAGTGTCCAAAATTCTGTAAATTTGATGTAAATGATTTCCATGAAATTTACAGAATTTTGGACACTTACATCATATTTACATCAAATTTACAACCTTTAAAGCGCGCGATTTTTTCCAGTGTTCAGGAGGAGCTGACGGGTTCCTGGTAGAAATATATCTCTGTTCTTATGTCCCAGATAAAGAATACTTTCTAAGAATTTTTCCCAGCAAAATAATGAATTTCCTAACTGAAAAAAAGCCGTTTTTGACCATAAAATGATACATAAGACTTTTTTGACCTTAAAAACTTTTGCCAGGAACAAAATCCGGCATTTTATAGAAGGAAGGGTGCCAAATTTGCTTGTGTTATTGTCAACGATGTAGCTCAAAATTCCTTTCATTTCTGTCCGTTCAGTCTCTGTGTGTTTTTGCGTATAGTCTTGTCTGTTTGATTATTTGTTTTGTTGATTATATGTAAAATCATTATTACTGGCGTTGTAAGTATAAAACGACGTAACTGGTGCCGTAATAGGAAAAATACGATGTGCTTTCTGAAGCTAAGCCGAGCCATTTTTGCTCACTCGAATTGATATACTAAAAAAAGCTAATATACCTAACCGATTACACGCTCTCTGCATTTTCCATCGTTCGAAACGCACTGTCTTGGAAATACTTATACAACTTTATTAAAAAAAGATGACGGAAGCTATTCTTACCTTCAGTAAAAGAAATGTAGCATGCAAGAAAAAGTACGAATTTTGGCTTCATTGTAGTTCAGCGTTTTAACATCAAAAAATGCTGCTTTATACAAGTTCCAGATAACTGCTTAAAGGTTACTCGAAGACATAATGGTAATTGTATTGACATGGATGCAAAATTTCAGTGAATAGAACGGTTGATTGTCATTGGTTTAGAAGTTGCCTGGTAACATTTGTTTACATATATACCATTACCCAAACAAAGTATTAACACAAAAAAGATAATTTAGAAACAATGGCGCCTATTTTGTCGATGGACTTTAATGGTTGACAAAGTTCATTTTCAATGAATTATTTATGTAAATATAGTAAATTATTACTTCAAAGTGTTTATAAATAGGAATCCGTATATTATAATTGTATGTAATCATTAGAAAACATATAGGTTTTCTGAGTTTTCCATCGTACTGTGTACTGTAAAACAAACAATTTTTCTCAGTGCATATCACTTTACTTTTTTTTTTTATACCGCGCATCAGTATTCAACGTTCTGAAATAAATACATGTATTTCAGAACGTTGAATACTGATGCGCGGTATACTTGTATTCCATAATAGTAGTTCTATCGCAGTTCATAAGGAATTCCTTGGTTTTCAATGTGTCAAGAACTTCAGTGGAATTAAATCAATTAAGACGTTTTTATAACAGTTATTTGTAACGCTTCTAACGTGGAGGTCCCTTTCTTTTACAATCCAAATCGCGTGGGGAGTGAATATAATGAATCTTTTTAGAACTTTACCGCGTCTCGGCAGTCAAGTGGAATATCATTTAACGCTGAGGTTCACCTACAAGAAAAACATTTTATTCCAATGGCAAATGACAATGAAAGACTCATGATAAAAGGTTTGACCCAGTGATTTGTACTGATTTCAGTCATTTGATTGTTATCGATTCAGTGGCTAATGAACATGCGCAGTTTATTACAATAGTTATTTAGAATAACAATTTATTATCATTAACAAAAAATACATATTGAATCATTTAACCTGTACGTAGCTTTTTAACAGACGCTAAAAAAAGCTAACAATAGGCATTATTTAACATTGACGAAAAAATGTTCTCTTTCAAATAAAATGATTTTCTAAAAGTTCATGTGCACTTAAAAAAAATAAAGAACATTACCTGTTTCCTGTCCTTATCAGATTATCAGAGACATATGAATATATATAATTTAATTATTCAGTTTTTTTCCTCTGTTTCATTCAGTTTTCAAAATGTTATAGGTCAAGATTCAACTAAGGTCACTAAGGGACCGGCGAAACGGGTGGAACTGTAGTCCTCGCACATTCTTCTTTGTATTTAACAACTTTAACAACAAAACCAACATTCATTCGCGACCTTGGGCAAATCATTTTCCTGTAGTCTATGCCATGAGCGACAATGATACAGAAAATAGCTTTTTGTCGAACCTGTGACAGTATTTTTGACGGACATGGCACTGAAAATTACATGTAACTGTTATCTTAATAAATGAACATAGGAAGAAATAAATCTTAAACCCTAAAAACCTTGTGTTGTCTTGCTTTAAATGCTATGCTTTCAGACGACGAATTTCACATTGCAGAATTCAGTAATTATAGAATCAGAACTGACGAAAATGCGACAGAACTGGTTTAAATGGCTAAAACTTTAATTGCCACCTCTTTTCAAAACCCGTGAAAGTGAAAAGATATAAACGCGCGCCTATAAACGTCCATCTATTAAAAACGGTTCGCCACAACAGACTAAGCAAGTGATGAACCGCCGGCAAATATTTTTTTTTAAAATGTCACTTGTGCATTAAGAGGTTTTGATACTGAATAATTACCGTTGTTTGTTTCCCCTGCTAATGGGAAAAGTTTCATTTTTTTCTGCAAATCAAGATACTTT